AACTCCTTGGATTTTCAGGCTTTGCTCAGGAGGATGTATAGATTTGATAGTAGTCCCTTCTGTGGTATTAAATACTGTATATTGAGTTTCTAACGTATTTATTTCAAAGTTAAGAATAGGAATATTGTGCTGGTTTAAGGTGTCCCTTAACCAGTCAAAAAAGCATTTCCCTTTATTTCCTTTTTGTCTCCATTTATTGAATTGTGAGTGAAATAATTCTACTAGTCTAGGTTAAAATTCTTTCACATACCATTCTCTAATATTTTTATTTTCTGGAGATAAAAAATCTTTGATAATATCATCTCGGGTGAATGTTTCTTCAAGCTGTAATACGTGAACGAATTCTGCCTCAGCAGGTTCTTCTTCAGCTTTTCTATATTGGGGTATAATGATATTATCAGATGCTCGCAAAAGTCCATCAATCTGTGGTTTTGGTGTTGATGGAATACTTATTATAGGAGGAATTCTAGTATAAGTAGTAATGGATTTTCTTGGGGGTTCTGGATTTCAAAAAGAATGATTACTTGAAGTTTCTGAGATGGATGCATTATCCATAATTCTGTTATTTGTAGTAAATTGTATTTCAATATTTCCGTCTGTATATTCAATAATCTTGTCTGGAATATTTTGAATAGGATTTTGTGATGGTTGGTTTTCATTATGGATAGCCCATGTTTGGGGTAGAACAATATCTGACCATGATATTGTTTTTGGTATAATTGTATTTGATTTTTCCATAGTAGTTTGAAAAAATATTGTTTGTCCCCTAGTATCCATTTGGAGTACATTTGGACATAGAGTAGTCATTACTTTATAATATATCCGATATACAATAGCAATATTTTGCGAACCTGTTACCATATCAAATCCTTGTGTTTTAAGGTTTAAGGATAAAAAATTTAGTATATTTGGATCTGTTACTGATACAGAATAATTTGGAAAACAGTCGAAATATATTGGTCCACTACATAAACTAGATTCGACCATTCCTAATAGAGAATCTGAAAATCTATTATGCCTAGTATCTTGTAGACAGACTAAGATAGAATTATTTAATCCTAAGCGAGTTAAAGGTTTGACTGCTATTTGTATTAATCCTATATGTAAATATTTATAATTTCTATTTTTATGAACTTGTAATATTTTTTGAGATAATAGCTGAAAATCTTCCTGATTACTAGTAACAGAGAGAGTTTCTTCTACTGTTTTTATGGCATATCCGATTTTGAAGTCAAATGCACCTTTTTTGCAAATATCTGATATTGGAACCTTTGGTATGTTCCAATTCTGTATTTGGTTTTCAATATCA